ACTGGAGAAAGTGGGAGGGACAGCTCTCTCTTCAGACCCTGGCTGAAGAAAGCTTTGTTTGCCCAAGAGAAGGGGCTCTGAGGTCACAATGTAAAGATCTTTCCAGAGACTGCTACAAAAGGATGTGGCATCAGGAATAACAGAAACCGTGACTCTCAAATCTGCACAAGAGTGCCTTAAATAGGAAGCTACACAGGTGAAATCCTGTTGCAGCAAAGTCTGTTACATGAACCTTCCAAAAGAATGAATCAGCACAGAGCTTCAAACTGTAGCTTCCATGAAGTGTAATTTAATTCTAACAAAATAAAAGATGCCTTCGCTAACATGCTAGAAATACAGAATGCAATGTCACTGCTTTCTTGATTTTATTCCTGGATTTTGTCACTATAGATTCCTATTGCCAGCAAGGAAAATTACATTTTTAGCCCTATTTCTAGCCACACCGATTTGTGACATATGTCTTACTTGTATTTAAGACATCCAATTACCATCTAAGAATTTTAAAACCTAAAGGTCAGAATGATGCTTTTTTTAACCTACAAACCCAAGGAGCACTGAAATGTTCTTTTTCTGTCTATTTCCCTCTTTCTCTCTCATCCTAGAGGCCCTGAATCTCAATGACAAAAGTGAAAAGTAGATGGAAGAAAGAAAAAGGCTTTAAGTTATTTACTGTCTTCTACTAGTTGTGCTATTTTTGCAGAGTCAGAAATCCTCTTTTTTTAGTGTTGAAAACCCTACCTGTCAAGCAGTTGGAGTTGCAGCAACCAAAGTGTCCTATAACTCGTAGAGATTGCAAACAATTATACTGAAAGTACGTTCAGTCAAATGGAATTTTCATCATCTAGCTGCTTTACCTAACAGAAATACCCTGTTCAATAAAGCACTAGAGAGAAATCATTTTCTAAACCCAAGTGGTGATGCAGTGCAGCTCCGTAAAAGCCCTTTGCTCTCTTACTGTGCTACTGTATCTGCAAGCTCCACCTATGCAAACATGAAAATCAATGTAACAATTCGATATACAAGGCAAGGCCTACAGCACTGCTAATGTCCCCTTGCTGGACACACACCTTAAGTCTCAAAGCTCTCAAGGGGTTTGCTGTGGAATAAAATTAGATTCCAACATCTGCCACCATTAAGGAAAAAATTCCATTTCCATCTCCCATATGAAAACACTATAACCAATGAACAGTAACTGAACCTTGATACCGTAATGGTTATTACCGAAATCAACTATTTTTTTTAAACAGTAAAATTAGCAAATTCTGCTCTCATAATTATTTGAATGTTATCAGACTAAATGTTTGATAAAACTCCAATATGATTCACTTGGAAAAACTGCTGCTTATTTGAATACACAGAATATAAAGTGTATTCATTTGTAGCTATTCACATTATGTTTAAAGCATATCATCTTTTTAAAGTTTGCATTAGCTTGCTTTCCTAACCAAGCACAAAAAGTAGCCTACCTTCAGGTTTTACTTGCATATTTTATTCAGATGTTTCTATTAGAGTTAAAAACAATCTCATATCTATTATTCATTGAAGAAAAGAGATAATATAATACATGTGAAATGGCAGAATCTACATGAGTTGGTTTCTTTTACTGAAAATACTTTGTGCATTAGTCACTGAAGACACGCTTTACCTTTTAAAATGAAAAGTATTTTAGATACATAAATACATGATAAATAAATCACCCTTATCCATGTGGAGGACTGAACATCTTGCTTAGTACTTTGTAAAATGTTACCCTTTGTATATAGTGCTGTATAACTTAAAAGCTCTTTTGCAAATGTTATAGCATGTGATCTCCTCCCGTGACAAAAGACTCTTGGGCTCAAAAAAGTAAGATTTTCTTAATATAGCACCAGTGACAGACCCTGGATTATAGCTAGTCTCTTCTGATTTCTCCATGTACACCCACCTCTATCAGACATAAAGCCTGAACTCTGAGGGTTCTGTGTTGGTAAGAACCTGTGTTCCATGACCACGTCACTGAAGACGAGAAAGCCCTCACTGTTTCTCTGTTTCTATCAATTAGTCCAGCAATCCTAATTCCTCTTTCCTGGAGCAGGGTAGAACCTCACTACTGATACTGCCTTGAACCCTGAAGAAATACTAAAATGGGAGGAGAAATGCAGAGAATTTGGAGTTGGCTCGAGTACTTATTAGTTGAGTGACCCTCATGTGTAAAATGAGAAAAATAATGATAGGGTTATTAAATTAAATGTAGATAATATACAATGCATGATAGGGTCTAGCATGAAAAAGATGACGGTGAAGCCAATCGAGGCAACCAGGGTGAGACACAGAAGCAGCTGGAGGTAGATGGGCTGAGACAGAAGTGACTCTGGTTCCTCCCGCTGCACACACACACTTCCTCCTGGGGGGCGGCTGCTGCATTCTGACAAGCCCTGGTACACGTATCTGAGGCGTCAATAACCATTTTAGAATTCTGACCATGAAAAGGGTCAGTCAGATTTAAAGATTTTTGTTTGTTAGTTTTTGTTTCCTTCACAAACATCATGGCAGGAGAACAGAAATTAAGTCAATGAGCACCTTTCCTTATTAAGCCAGATTTCCTCTGTTAGTAATACGTATAGGTTTTGGACTGTCTCCTTTTTAAGTAATTGCCAATCTTTGTACATATTTTCAAAAAGAGGGTAGTGCTAACATCTAACTGAACAACTAAGAGAAGACTACAAAAATGCTCTGCCCAGAAGTTAGAGTCAATGAGAATTTAGGAAAAACTACTCAGGGGGATGCAAGTTAACAGTCTGCCTGACTCGCAGCCTACAACTGGCCCCTTGGATTCTTTCTGAACCAGTGAGGAGATTAGCTAAAAGCTTTCGGGGTTTTGGGAAACACACCATCACAGCAGATGCTTAGAAGATGCCCCTTGACACTGTGACACAGAGCCTCGGGAGCGGCTGTGCAGGACAAGGTACAAAGAGCAAGATGCTTAAAAACTCCTCAGAACATCACTTACATGACATTATCAGCCAACTGCTGCTACGGTCTGGACAGTTCCAAAAATCAGTAATTCAGCCCAGGTGGGGAAAATCTGGGCTTTCATTTAAAAGAATGAATTCAAAGGTAGCAAAGGAGCTATCAACCAAGGGAGCTATGCTACAGTCAGAAAGGAAAATGGGAAGGGGGGATTGGTTGAATTAAATGACAGATGACAGGCAACTAAACGACAATTACTGAAAAGTTTTAATATTAAATTTTGTTTGTTTTAAGGCTACCCTTAATAATATACATGCCTAGTTTCTCCATTTTGTAGATTTGGGGAAAGTGTTTGGTTCTTGGAGGAATACAATCTGTTATTCTTGATAATTGGACAGGTCAGGAAAAAAAAAGATGCAGGGTCAGAAAGAAAGGCAAGATAATATATATTTAAATATGAGATCCTCATCATAATTAGACTAAATAGCCAAAACAAGAATGTGCAGGGTGGGTGGGTAGGTGGGGGGGTAAAGTGAGAACAGGACATTTCTCCTTAATGCATAGTCTTGGCATGTAAATGAAGACATCTGAAGAAGCACACAGGTTTAAAGCGGCTCTAACATTCTATCATAATTAGAAACATTTCAAGAGCCCTGTAATTTCCAATCAAAATTACAGTAATTTCCGATATACAAGCCATGATTCATGACAGAATTTTACATTCCATGAGAGATTACGGTGGCCTGATGTATGACACGCTGAGTACAGCACTAACATAAACAATTCAGTTTAATGTTTAAACAGCACTTGATGTTTAGAATCTCACAATAAAAGAAACATATTATTGTAGAAATTATCACTTTGACAGTGATTGAAGGGTAGGCAGGCATGTGGCCTATAAAGCTATAATTTTTACAGTCCACAGCTTGAGTTTAATCATTTTTATATAACATTTCCAAGATATCCCTTAAGTATTTCATCCAGCCTATAACTTAAACAAGAACAACATTTTCCTAAAGCAAAACTCCCATCAAGTACCACTATTAACACTGATGGAGTAAAATTTTAGGAAAAGCCAAAAAGGTATTATATCATAACTACGTCATATCGTGAATACTCCCAGGATTATATATTTTGTCAGAAGTTCACAACAGCCAGGCTGTTTTATAAAAGAAGTTTCATTAACGATAATGAAAATACACTTGTGTAAAATTCCAAGTTGTTAAAATCTCACCTGGAGCCCTTGATTGCCTCTAAATCTCACCTTAAGAGTATTATCAAATCCTTTTTGAAGGGGAAGAGAGTTTAGTGTTCTTCTGGACGTTTAAAAAGTATTCTTGGCTTTGGAGAAGGGTTTATAGATAATTGTAACTTTGTTCATATAGATGATTCTACTTTTGATGAACATAAATTATCAAAATATGACAATTATGCTGATAAAAGAAAACATTATCTATCCTTTGTTTTTATCTTGTTTTGTAGAAATTTGCAACTTTTCCAATTCAAGTTTATTCAGTTATAATTCATTAGAGCTGGACAACTTTTCTAATTGTAATTCGATTTTTGTGTCTTATAGAAAAACTAAAATCATTACCATGCAAGATATGTGTGTGTATGCCAGTTTATCTTAATAAGCGCACCTAGTAGTTACAGATAGCCAAGTTGGAACAGAAGAAACTGTATAATATTTGTAGTACTTTAGAATGGAAATACAGGCCATCTAAATAATAATGAAACAATATTAATTCAAGTTATTTATTCTATTACAATAGACCAGAGTGAGAAACTTTCTAAACATTATAATATCCTTCTTCTGAAACAACTATTTAACTGATTCAGGGTTTTACGGAGAAATCCTTGGTTTGAGGAGTGGCTGTTGATCAAGTATCTATGACCTGAATTTGAATATGGTTTCGTTTTAGAGCTCTGTAAATAATCCTGGAGATAGTGACCCCTCAGTTGTAAGTTCACATTGAAAATAGATACTTCTTTTATGAAAATCCCACTGGCATCACAGATAAACATTCTCAATGCCTAATAGAGGCTCTTACCTGGCTTTTGGTTGCCGCAACCTTTGCAAACAGTGCTTGGGACACTTTAGCACGCTTCATTTCCTGCTGAATCTCATCATAAATGGAAGCATTAATGTTCATGGTATTGTTCTCTGGTTTCCCATTCCTCTCAGCGGCAATAGTCGCTGTTTTCACCTACAAAACATTTTGAACATGGCTGTCATTTTTCATCGGCCAAATTGTTTTGAAGCTTCTCAGGCTCAGCATCCAAACTGGACATTGTTGCTACTTTTATGATCAAGGTGATCAACGGTGCAGTCATTCAACATTAGTTATTGCCCCGAGATCAGATTGCTTAAGTTAAGAAAGTCATATTGTCACAGGTGATTGCATCAGTAATATGACAGCAACTGCCAGCTGACAACCAGGAATTATAATGCCATAAAGTAAGTTTTCTGAAAACAGAATAGTTTCAAAGACTTGAAAACCCTAAACTAATTGTCTCCCAATTACCTTCCATTGCAATCCTAACAAAGGAAATTCACAATTAAAATTATAATGCACGGTGCTATATCTTCACTGGGTACCCGGTGCCTAATAGACAATTGCATCACTAATAGCTATTACATACTATGGCCTTTTTAATTTTAGACTCTTTTTTATGCCTTTTCCTCTTATGTTTCATTTTAAAAATCTTCCATAACAAAGCCATTTGCAGAACTGCATATTTAAATCTTCTATCCATCCATGAAACAGGTACAGTGCCTTGCTTAATTATCATAAAGGCTGGTTGCATTTTACACGTGCATGTCCAAGCTGTTCTGTATAATTATTTCATCTTTTCCTGGCACCCCTGTATATAACTATTTCCTTTTGACTTGTGGAATCAGACAATAAGAAAATGTTTCACAATATTTAATAGAATAATACTGTAAGTTACACAAAATATATAATCAGTGACTTTACAAATATATTCAAAATGTATAATCTTGAATGAAAAATTAGTATCAATGCCTTTGGTAATAATGATAGGCAGATAACAGCAATAAAATGCCACAAAATTTTAGGGGAAAAATAAAATCAACCTCAAAATTTATTGATACTATTATTAATTTTTAAAACTCCAAATTTAATTTTTATTATTCAATGTATGAACTAACCTGGAAAACTTACATATGAACTATGTAGCTAATTTTTTACTGGGAAATTGATGAAAATATAAATGAAAAACTACAGATACAAAACCATGTTTCTCTCAGCAAAATGCTCCAATTAAGGACCTCACTTCTAAGGGTACTTTACAGAACTAAGTTTTCTGTCCTCTAGAAACTTACCATCCTGGACAGCTTCTCACATAAACTATGAACAATAGAAAATGAACTGCATTTTAGGATAAACAAATAATTTTTTGGCATTAAATGACATACCTTTCTAGTCAAGCTGCAAGTCTTCCAAGTTTATTTCACCCTGTCCCCAAAATATTTGGTATGAAAAGAGGGGCAAACATTACTCTATTCAATTCTCTGTACTTAGAGGGTAAATATGCGTCCCCTTGAAAATGTGCCTTCCAAATCCCTTTAACTTCTAGCCAGTTAGCAAAATAATTCACCTCTTGGTTATCCTGAGAAGGGAGGTAGATTCTTCCACCATGACACTACCCATCTAAGCACTGAAAAGACAATGCCATGAACTGGCTGGACCACACGTCTGAAGAGGACACAGCAGATCAGGCAGGACCAACCCATGAGGCCTCCACTGCCTCCCTTAAACTATCAACTGGAGACAGGAACAACAGCAAAAGTCTAGGCTAGATCTCCAGGGTTCCCTTGCTCGCTCTGTGACTGTAGTAAGCAAGGGCACTCACAGAGGTGTATTAATGACTGGAGGCCACGAAGAACACATATAGGGCTTTGAAGCAATAATCTGCTAAACACCACTTTAGGAGCCAGAAGAGTTACCGCATTACCATAAATTGCCCACAAAGTTGCTTTGGTGAGGTTTGAAACTTTGCTCTGGGGTGGTCTTGCTTTGAGGCAGAGGGATAGATTTGATCACACCATGGGGTCCCTTTTAATACCTATTTTTCTCACTGCTTAAATGAAAGAGAAAAGAAAAGCCATTTCAATCGCTTTGAAAATTGAATGTTATGGAAATGGGGGCACCAAGTCCAGTGCCTTGGAAGAAAACAGTTCCTCGGTAGCAATCTGCTTAGCAATAGCTAAGAGCAGCGGGCTTTGGGGACTTGGTGTTTCGGTCTGCTTTCAAAATAATTTTCATTCTTTTGTAAAAATTATGTTGAGGAATTTATCTTTGAGGTGGGCTATAATCATTTGTCTTAACCCTGTGATTTTCTTTCTAAAAATTTCTTTGGTTAATTTTTTTTTATTATAAACAATTATAACTTGAACCAAAAAGCAAGAATCCTAAATCATAAAAAAATCAAATAATCATTTCCTAATAGCCCACACTGTCAAAACAAAAGTGGAAAACAAGTATACATGAAAACTGTTTTTAAAAAGTGAGGGCAAAACTTTAAAAAATATAAAGTTAAAAAGTCTCTCTGTATTACTCATTATAAAAATATTTAAAAAGCTCTTCTTTACCATCTTGTTGGCCCAGATATACATCTTATCAAAGATAAGTTATTAGAATTCTGGAATCACATTTTTTTCCTAAACACAAGCTATTGCTTAAGGGGAACTGACTTGGACAGCTTTTCAAAAATATGAAAGCTGAATTTTTCCCCAGGTAAAAAAGGAAACAAAAATCTTTTATACCTCACTCTACTAAGTACTATTTTAGCTTAGTACAAAAAAAATCTTCTTTAATCCTGGTTTAGCTTTTAATATTATATCACACATTAAAATTCATAAAGTAGTTCATTCCAGGCAAAACAAACTACTCTTCAGTTCTTCTCCGCAAATAGCTCAGGAGGTAAAATAAATGCAGTTGCTTTCAGAATAGCTTTTATCAAGGTAGGGTGTACCACTCCATTATTAAGGCGGCGCCGGAGAAGCAGTTAAGAATTGGAGCTTCTACTATTTACCCTTCCGCGTGGGGACAGGGTGCAGCACTAGGGTCTGCTTTTTTATTTCGCTAAAATTCTGCAGTAGAACACAAATCTTCCATGAAAATTCTTTTGCTTCTTCACTGGTTGCTATAAGTACCAAATCAAACTTTTAGGTTACAAAAGATGAACTCTTTCTGGCCTTGATTGGTGAATGTACTACTCATTGATGCATGAGGAAATGCCTGCAAGCACATTGCTCTCAAACACACGAAATTAAAGTTTTATGTGGTTTCAATAACTATGATAATAAAGGCTGACATTTATTAGTTGTTTATTATGTGCTAGGCATTGTGTTAATGTATGTTAACTTCTTACCCTGCATAACAACCCTAAGTAGGTACTACGATTGCCCTATTAAAATTGAGAAAACTCTTAAAACAAAGAGGTTAAGTAATTTGTCTACGGGGTAAGGCTGAGATCTGAACTTAAGTGTGTCTGATGCTAGTCCTTATCTCAGAAACCACAGAGTTGTACTGAGTTCATGATGTTATACAGGCCTTCTTTACTTGGAAAAAATTCTTACTTTTTAAAATAGGCTGGACTTGCTTTTTGGTGGTCCTTTGGTAAATCTAGCTCATTCGTGTCTAATTTTTAATTAATATTAAGACCCAAACTGAATTTATTTTCCAAGGTATGCAAACTATAAATGTTTCCTTAGTAATGTTGTGTAAGAAACGTCATATTCTGTGGATGTTTATTGGTGATGGAAAATATTTCCCACTCTCAAATTTTTATATATTAACATTGTCTTTAAGGCCATGGTTTAATCTTCTTAGAGATTTATTTTTTAGGAACAATAATAATTATTTTTCAAATCTAGACTTTAGAAGTCCTCTAGCTTTTAAAAGATGACTATTAATGGGAAGCATTTTACAAGCACATAAGTGAGATCTTGAAATGTTCATAATAAATAAAACTTTTATCAAGTGTGAAGTTCCTGCCTGTAACTGAACCTGAAATCAAGATGAATCTATGTTTCATTATATTATAGAGGGATTTGTTGTAAAGAGATGGAACAGTGCAACTATCAGATTATGTGTTCCTTACATGACCTTTATAAATTTTCTAAAGCATTTGTTATACAACAACATACCTCACTTTAGAAGTAACTAAAGACATAAACAGATGTAAAAAATGAAGGAAAAAAGAGTTGTATAATTCATGTAAAAATTCTAACTTGATAATTATATGCTTTCGAACAGTCCTTATGGAAACAGAAATTGCTAATTTAACTCCAAAAGTCACACATATTAAAATACACAAATAAAACCAAGATAAGCATACACCTAAGGTAGAAATCATCACTTAAAACTGAACTGTTGTGTAGCACAGATCATTTTCAGGAAATAATCATTAATTATTATTAATAAAATTCTTCTAATAAACTCATCAGGAAAGTTTGCAAAGCATAATCAGAAAAGAAACCTTTTACAAGACCAAAGAACTTTGCGGGAGTGGATGGTTCTCCCAGTTCTCCCAGATATTTTTATATGAACAAAGTTTGGAAGGGGCTATTTCATCCACAATCTCAGAAACACCATTGTCCAAAATCTTCCCAAGTGAATCATTTGTTAAACATTTATTTCATCAGGACAATGCTCTCCTATCTGTTCCTCTTCCCAGTTTAACAATAAAACTGCCTATCCTCTACGACAAACAAAAAAATCCCCAAGTTTCATTTCCCCCTTGCTAAAGTAGATTTGATTGTATTTTGAGGAGGCTGTTTGAAGTAGAGGAAAGAGCAACGGACTTAACGAGATTTCAAAACTTTGACTAAACCCTAGACTTGGTTTTCTCATTTTTTTCCTAGCAAAAGGTTGGTATGAGGACTCAACAAATTAATGTATGTAAAGGTGCTTAGAAAACTGTGAACCATTATCAAGTGAAAGATATTCTTACTGCTCAAATTAGAGCAATGCAAAGTTGTGAAAATATGCTTTTAGCAAACAGGTCTGGCCCAGAGCCTACTGCCCCAGGCAGAGGACAAAGCGCATGGCATGGCTGCCCCTACTGGAGTACAAGGGGTACCTCTGCATAAGGAGCATCTCACCTGGGCTGGACCAGCCAAGACCTTTGGTGTTTTCTGAAGCTGGTCTAGGTGTGCCCAGGTGAGATATTCCTAGAACTATATAACTGGGGTCTGAATAGCCAGGGAAGTCCCTTTTTGAAGATGACTTAGAATCCAAGCCTCTCAATAGTTGGGGTCCTCAGTCTGGTATGCCCCAGGAGCATTCCAAAATCATCTTATATATGATTTACACTCTACAAGGAGCTGGAAGTCTCTCAGGCCTAAAGGTGGCCTGGGTTTTCTGTGAACCACTAAGAGCCTCTGCCTTTAACGTGCAGTTCTTTAGAAAGAAATCGGGGTTAAAATTGAACCGAAGCTCAAGATCTGTCTCAAAATATGTTTCAAATCTTTTCATTTTGGGGGAAATACAATGCATAGTAATTTCATACAGATTCCTTCATGATAAAATATGAAATTAAGACAAAATTTTGCAGTCTGTTTCTGTATCTTTGGTTTCCTCCATTTTTTCCCTTCATTTTAGTTATTTGTAATAAGCATATTAAAATCTTATGTGTGGTGTATTGGTTCCAGTTTAAGCATTTGATTTCAACTGCTGAAAAATACTACTAATTCAATTCCTCTTTAACATGTTTTTGCAAATCTAAAGTACTCCTTTTGCACTGATAATACCTTTAATACATTAGAATTTCTTAAAATTTCATTCATCAAATTATTGTTAAAGGGTAAAATGTGAACAAATTGGTAGTGAGTTCTATTATAATAATATTAAGTAATACAGAGAGATTCTCTGTGAAGCAAATAAGACACCTTAAAGATTTATATTATAGTAGTGAAATAAAACACACCACACATCAGATAATCATTTTGGAATTTGGTTAGATGGCCAATAATATGGCATTAATAGAAACAATTTCTTTGAAAGTTTCACTAAAAATCTACAGTATCTACATCTGTATATGTTCATCATTGGCAGAATACTCATAGTTTTGGTCTCGGCTCCTCTTGAGAACAAACAAGTATGGCTAAGGGTGGCTCAACCAGTTAATCAATAATCTGAGCCAAAACAAATTATATACATTTTCTATCCCAACTTACTAGCTGATAAGGCTTTTAAACATATTCATAGGAAAGCTATCATACATGAAAAAAGATACCACTTGATAATCAGAATCAGTATAACTTTGGCTCAAGAAAAAACGTGATGAATAAGGATAGCAGAACTACATTTGGAAAACAAAACCATTAAAATTCTAGAAGCATTAGAAAATAAAAGCTGTATTAAGGAACCACTAAGTCAAATATTTATCTAGATTAAAAAAAAAAAGAAGTTCAATGTTGAAGTTCATATTGGTCTTAAGTTAGCCATTCTTTTATTAGTATTGCAGCTTAAGTGATAAGTAAAATAACTCTTTGCCCAGAGGCCCCGTCAGTGATGACTACAGGAGCAAAGTTAACTAATAAAGTGTGTATATTAACACTAAACACTGCAGAAAAAATATTAAACAAAATCCAAAGTTTACTATTTTCTGTTTAATCTCTGTTACAAGTCACACACACATATATATATAAAGAGTTTTTCATTCTTTATCTTAGGAAATATTTTATAGGAGGCTTTACATATCAAACTCAATAACTGTGTTTGTGTGCAGGCAGGCAGATGTGTATATGTATATAGATGCCATTCTTTTCTCCTAAAGAAACATGATTTTCTTATGCATAATTACAGCAATGATTTCCTTACGGTCTGCTCCTATAGATATCAAGAACAGATTGATTTTCATCAAATAAAATGAAGAAAATGGATTTTTGTGATGTTTCTAAAAAATAGTCATTTCAGAACACTATGATAAGCAGTTTAAGACCCTCAACAAGTGGCTGAATATCTATTTCTTATTTTTGGAATATCTGTAGCAGTTTCTTTCTTTAGTGTTGAATAGGATTTTTCTAGATTTCTATACTTGGAAATGCATGATGAATTTTTACCATTGATGAAAAGAAATTAACATCAAGATATAATTTCATTATGAGATTATGGTATATGAATACTTTGAATGTTTTCTATATTCAATCTTTATCTAGTTTTATCTGACCTTACTTTTTTAAGAGTTGTGCATGTCATAAATTAAACATTTAAAAAAGTATATTTGCTTGTGGATTTTGAGTCTTATCTACTAACTACCTTTTATCCAATAGTTCATATTGAAAATTAATTTCTTGAATTCTCATAATAGTTATGAGGCTACTTTTTAAACTTCATTTAAAGAATAAAATACAGATGTACATACAAGTTACCTGGAAGGTGACTTTTTTCCTTCCTAAAAAGTGTAAAATTTGGAGAAATAAAAAATGTGCCCATTTCTGGGAATATGGACAGAATTTCTTATCAGCCCCATTTAAAGCTGTCTTCAAGGATTGTATTAAACTTAATTATGAAAGATTACAAATGAGATGATGTGTAATTGGTACCAGCTGCAGTTTGTATTGGAAAGCACACATACAAATGCAATTATTTATTTTTATTTATTTACTATTCAAATGGCAGTTCTAAAACTGGCCGGGATAAAACTGACTTTATTCTTTTTTTTAAATTCCTATTGAGTTTAAAATAGTTCTTTACTTAATAACAGAAGTAGAGACAAATATCCCATTTAAAGACTACTTTCACCCCCAAAGAACCCAAGGAATGAAGCAACAACACAAAGTAATTTTCTTTATTCTATCTAATTAGTAGCTTATTGTTTTTATATCAGAATTAGTGATTTGGGATGAGATTCTCCTCAAGCAACTCTACGAAGTTTTTTTTTAAAAAATCTAAATCTATATCTCTATCTAATTTCTTGTTAATATTCTTTCTCAAACGTTAAAAAAAAAAAAAAAAAAAGCAAAACAGAGAAGAAATGGCAGGGAGGAAGAGGAGACTGCACCTGGGGAGGGCGGCTGGGTGGTGTGCTTATCAGGGGGGCAGGTCCCATGGCTGAGGCAGCATTCAAGCTCCTTTCCCTTTCGTCCTGGTATATTCGGTCTCTTTCAGCTTCTGGTAACTGCAAGAAATTCTGCATAGCCCGAAGGTTTACCAGCAAAGACTGGGATGCAGTCTTGGGGTCCTCTTCCTTTCGGAGGATTTCTGAAAGCAAGCCCTGCGGGGAATGAAAGGCACAGGGTGAGCTTGCTTCCCTTTTCTTCTCCACTCTGTTCAGAAAATGAACAGTCAGAGGCATTAATTCTGCATAGGAATATATTAGTTACAATTGAAGTGGTGGAGAAGAGAGCCTCAATTGTATTCTTAATTTTATTAAGCATCTGCTTTACATATAACATAAACTGAAACTGCCTAATTGGTCTCCTTCCTTTGAGTAGCTTAACTTGCCATGAAATCTTTCACAGAGATCCGGAGAAGTTAGGAATAAATGAAATCCTCATAATACAACAGCACTGAACTGTATAGTTCTCAAGCTGCCTAAACAAAGGTAGGGGAATGCCAGCAGCCCAATACGTAAAGATACGAAGCCATTTCTAGAGAAGTAAGTAGAACTTTCAAAGAAAATACCAGGAAATGAATTGTAACATATTAGAAAAAACAGAGTATTATCAAAGCATTATCTAAGATTTATGCTACATTTTCACAATGTTTTAAGTTATTCCTTCATCTTCAAATTACCAAAGTAAATGACACCAGGTGACCCATTCAATTTACCATTTAAAGGGAACCACACTGACTATCCCAAATGATTCTAAATACTATCTGGGTATATGATACTGCTGGGTAACAGGTTAAAACTCGGAAACCATACATAAATCTGAAATACATAACCACTTTTCCTCACTACAGAAATCCATCATAGCATGCCAAGGAAAAGAATATTATCAAATTCTGTAATTATCATACTTCTTGAGGAATAAAAATTATTAGTGATAGAAATTTACAAACCATCAGAAAACCTTTTTAAGGTATCTTTCCCCCAAATAATAAAGCATTAGTTTTCAACTAATTTATTTTTTAACTTTTAGAAGAACTCTTTCAAAAATGGGTGGTTTTCCCCAACATGTTTAGGAGATAATACGAAACAAAAGTACTAGAAAAAATTTCTGTCCATTTTATAAGGGCTAAGCAGCCCTTATCTACTCAACCTTGTACATGAAATAATGCCTGGAATACCAAGGTACATTTGGCTTCTTAGCTTAGCCAGAATATCAGCGTCTCACAATATAATTCATAATAAAATTTTGTCAAAATTTCTATATAATTTGCAAATCCACTTTCCAATAACCTGAAGAAACGGTTAAAGGGTACCCTGGGGGAAGAAAGGTAAGGTGTCATGTCAAAACAACAGAGCCCCAAGGCTATAACATTTGGGTTTTCTTCATGGTTTCCTGGAACTTGGCTTTGTTTCCAATTCCTCAAGGATAATGTAACATATTGCCTAAATATAACAGTTGGGTGCAGATAATATAAAAGCACTGTCCACCTGTTAAAATGATGTATAAACTGGTATTTAAAAAGAACCTCCAACAAGAGCAGGAGACTTGAATAATCAATTTTAAAGTTGTCTCTCACTTGGTTTATTGAAACCAAAGCTTGAAAATTGGACCTGAACTTTTGGTTTTACCCTAAGAAATGTGACTGAAGAATGAAGGGCACGTGTCCTTTCATTCACGGTACTAACAAGAAATGCTGCAACTGTGTCTACACAAGAGCAAAACATTGAGTCAATTTAACTAAAATTCAGTCAAACAGGCAGTCAATCATCCAGTTATTTAATTTGCACAAGGCCAACTAACTAGATTGACTGTGTTCCTGATGTGTCATATTGGCACCAAAATATACAGGTCTTAAAAAAAAAAAATTTGAAAATGGGTATAATTAAAAAGCCCTTACTCTCCAGCACTCTCTACCAAACGTTATGCATTAAAAAATGCTCTTGGCAAAGCAATACATATCAAATACACAGAAATAGAGAGATAGACACAAACATTCAGTATAAATACAATGTTATAAATTCCTTGAGTATAATTTAATATTCATTTTGTCATCCCAGAACAATGTCTACCACAAAAATCTTTGATAACTATTCACTAAATAGATTATGTGTATTGAACCACAAAAGGAAAAATTCACTAACAGGTGACAGAAACTTAAGAACAAGATGTTTCCCATGGGTAAATTCTAACAATAACTATTAGCACCATGGAGGGCCTTCAGTGAAAAGTTATGTGGCTTTTTGTGAAATGTTCATCTATACTGATTGTTTAACAATTAAAAAAAAAAGATGAGGGCCAAAGATATCTATAAATATTCAGGATGTTATTATGTTTGGGAAACTTGAAATAAAATTTAAAAATCTTAAATAACATAGTAATACATCATATATTTCTATCAAAAATGTTTCCTGAGGCAGCAAAGACCTATAATGAGAAAACCAAATACATGAAAAAATACACAATAATATTCTTTCTCAAGTCTTGCTAACATGAAACTAAGTCATCCCTGTACAGCTTACAGTAGAAGATAGCATGTCCCTTAGGAGAGATTTTAATAAGTACTCTCTCCATATTTCGACGTTGGTGTGACCTCTCATTTGAGCATACATGTGTTTTAGGGGCAACGCATTTTATTTCCACTTAAATTAATTATTCTATTGGAACAAGTGCAGTTTTTCTGCCTGAAATATGTTGATGGTCTGAAGCAATGTTTCAAACCCTGGAACACTCAAAGAGCTTTAAAGTAGCCAGTGTAGACAGTCTCAGGTATTTTTAAAAACCTTCGGTTTTGGTTTTTTTTCCTCTCTTTTGGCCCAGAGCTTTAAATGAGGGGAGTGCCCCCTGGTGGAAATGCTTGAAAACATTGTTAGAAAACATTTTGATCAGTGTTAATTACCAAAAAAAAAAAAAAATTCAGTCACTTTAGAATAATTCTGGATGCAAAATGACTGCTTTCAGAACCCAGATATGGGAACGTATGTTTCTGTCTTGTTCAGGTCATTATTACTTGAATTGCTGCATTTATGGATTCAAGATGTATGTGGCCCCCACTTCCTATTTCCGATAGTTGAGCGTATAGTACAGAATTGCCAAGGTCATTTGTAGTAATCACCCATAGTGCATAGCAAGAGGGGCCTCTTACCAAAACTTCTCCTTCATGCTAAAAAACAGTATATCAAGGCCATCATGTACCTTACTTGTTATGTCATAAAATATACTGAAACACCAGGACTAAAACATTTAAATATTTTGCATCATAGGTGCTCAATAAATCTGAACTAAATTTAACAAAATTGTTAGTCACTCTTGTTTCTGAAAAGAACTTGAGAACTTGTATATTACGTATGAAGTTACTAGCATATCATGAATATTAATTTTATTGGAAATAAGCTGCCTTTCATTGGGACTTCGCATCTTACAAATAATTATATGTGCGTTGTGTGTTGTATATATGAAAACTTAAAATTATTCTGCATTGTCGTTACATAGTGGTTAAGTGAGAATTCTCATTTTTTTCAATTAAAGAATGAATCTACTGATGAATTCCTAGTTTTTACATTCCAAAAAGAGTTTACAAGTTATTACAAGTAAAATTCATTAGTAATTGTAAAAGAAAGAAAAAAACCTTCAATAAATATTATCAGTACTTCCAAAAGCTAATTATGAATTCTTTAAAACAGCAGATAAGCGAAAGAGACTGCCAATCTGAACAAAAAGCCTGTCTGGCCTCCCGTTTGTCTCCTCTTTGAACATAATCACTGATTCAAATAGATTTTATCAGCTTCATGGAACTTCAAAGCCCTCAGAAAGAAAATATGATTTGATGAAACCTCCCTCCAAAAAAGAAAATACATGGAACACTCTTCAAGGCTACCTGCCTCTGTTGTTTGGTGAATTTTTAATCACATGTTCAGGTGAAAGACAATTTTCAAACTCCACCCACTACCTTGGAGTCATGCCAAGTAAGTTGTAAGTAGGCACATTTATCTCTGTCGTTTGGTAGGCTAATCGAGAGCTGTCATGTTGGGGTAATAGCACCTTTTTACCTTTTATTCAATAGTGATATGGATAGTGGACTTTTCTTAAATTACACTGTGAAGAATTATAGGAACACAGTAGCAATTTCTGTTATACTTAAGCAGGCAAATTTCTCTCCACCACATAATTTACAGAACTCAAATTCAATAAAACATTACATGATGGTCCATTACTGTTATCAGTTTTGAATAATCCATCTTCATTCTTTATTTTACTGGAAAATAAAGTGAGCCAAACACAACAGGAGGGAGGAGAAAAAGAGGGAAAAGCCACAGAGTGGGACCAGAGTTAAACTATGGGTTTTATTTTTTCAAAGGCCAAAGGGCCTGAAGAATATATCTTCATTTATCACAACCTTTAAATAGCAATAATACAGAGAGGTGAATCAAAAAGTATAAATCCAGAAGCCTTGGCAATTACTTTTAGCCATAGGTTTCCAATAAAAAGACATCGAGTAGGCATAACTGAATGAATGACATATGCTGAAAGTAGATATCTTCAATAGCAATTAAAGAACATACGTCCCATCAATTCAGAAGGGGGAAAATTTCTTAAAACAAGTAATCATATAAATTTCACCATAAATTTTCAGAAAAGATAGATTTAAAAAAATAGTCACATGTGAAAGTATCGAGAGGGTTATGTTTTAATTTAGCGGACTCTATTAAGATGATGAGAAAATTTGCAATTAAGAATTAAAAAATACAAGACACAGCATTTTAAAGTTACATAGAGCTGTCAATGACTAAAATAATTCTCAATTCAAAACAGTGTTACCTATTATTTTAATGTTTTAACATACTGTTTATAGGGTATAATGTCTTTATCTGACCACATCATACAACTTTGTATGTACACATTTTACATTAATATTCTTAAACTTGGAGTTGGAATTGCACATTGTAATACGTGCACACAAATGTGTGATGTGCGATTTAACTCTGCAAAGCTCCTTGTCCATACATATGCATTAGCATGTGTATTTTCGTACTCCACACTCACACCATACTCACTCTGCACCTGCTTTTATTGAAATGCATACACTTTGAAATAAACACACTACATGCATTCATATGAATGCATAATCATTAAAATAAATGCAGCTGTGTGTGTGGTTAAGTATGACCACTGAAAATACACACATGCATGCATGTGTGAAAGCTAGTTCTCAAAGAGTGAACATTTAAATATACATACAAAATTACTCTTATTTAAATCAAACAGCTTCAAATATGGCCCAACACCTATTTCTCCTGATGAGTGCTAATTATCAATACAAAGATTTAAAACCAAATCCCTTATAACGCAGGACTCCAAATAATTTTTTGGTAATGACTTTTTTCTAAATTGGCTGTATTAATAAAGAGGTATCTGTATGAAGTTGTACCAGGTTTTCATTCTCTGCTCACCCTCAGAAAAATGAAGTCACTGTTTTTGAGGTTAACCATAGAGACAACCCTTTTCAAAGAGATTAATATGGTATCAAAAAGAAAATTCTGCCTTTCATTTGCTCAATTTTTAAAACACTTATCATTAAACATATATGTCATTTGTGTCTATGTCAATGTTGCATTTGGGGGCTTTTTTTTTTTTTTAAATAAAGACAGGTTCTTGCTCTGTTGCCCATGCTAAAGTGCAGTGGCATGATTATAGGTCACTGCAGCCTTGAACTCCTGGGCTCAAGCAATCCTCCTGCCTCAGATCACCACGCAGCTGAGACTACAGGCAAGTGCCACCACACCCAGCTAATTTTAAAAAATTTTTTGTAGAGACAGGGTCTTGCTATGTTACCTAGGCTGCTCTTAAACTCCTGGGCTCAATTGATCCTCCCATCTCAGCATCCCAAACTCCTGGGATTACAGGTGTGATCCACCACAACTGGTCTTTTTGGGCTTTTAACTCAATTCAACAAGCATTATTGGACTTTTATGTAGAGACTTTTTTTTTTTTTTGCTTAGTGCTGAGAACTACTAGTAGTTACTGTATTTACAAAAATAAAGAATGCTACCAGGTACAGGAATATCTAGAAAGCTGACTTTTGATTCATTCATTTTTTTTTTTCAATAATTACCCCCCAACTGAATATAGCTGTCATATTAAGTTTACCAGCTAATAATGAACACAATTTTTTAAGCTGTAAAAATATGGAAGTAGGTAAAACCATACAATTTTAACCTGAGGCATAACCTTGTGCAACTGCCTTTTTAAAAATAGACAAATGATGTACAAAAAACAGATGAAGAAACTGAAAACAAACACTGAATTAAAGGCTTTGTCAGGTCTCCTAACTCCCAATCTAGTTAAGGCAAGCCAAAAATAAGTCACAGCTGGGATTCTCCTAGGTATGGAAACTCTGCCAACAAGGAATTAATACTAGATTATTTTTGTACCAGAATTTTATTCTTATAATCATGTAATAAACAAAATAACTTAAATATGAGAGGAAAGTATGAGTGAGGCCAAAAACCAAAAATAAATCGACACAAGAAAGAACAGTGGTAAAACAAGAAAATTGAAGATTTAACGTCTTCATTCTCATCAAAGTTACATGTTCTTTTGTTTCTTTAGTGTGCCCGGGCCAAAAATAAACACCATATATATCATACTAGTTTCCAAACAAAGAAAAAAAATTCCTGTCATTCACAATTTAACACAATCAATTTGTTTAGGGCTTCTCAAAAATCTATCTTTATCTTATGACTTCTCTCATATCATGTATCACCTTTTCTCTATGTCCCTCTTAAATATCTCCCATGCTGCTAGATAATATCTTTACAGGAACTTGCCCAGAAGGACAAAGGTATAAATGTGGGGGTTATATGCAGATCTCAGGGAGAAGTCTAAAAATGGGTCTGCAAACTAAGACTGGCAGGCCAGACCTACCCGGGCCTGTTGTGTAAATAGTTTTATTGAAATACCACCACACCTACACCCATTTATTTATTGTCTGTGGCTGCTTATTACTTCACAATATGACAGAGAATTTATGTCCCTCAAAGCCTAAAACATTTATTATCTGGTCTATTACAGAACGAAGTTCACTGATCCCTGGTCTAGAGAAAGAGGTTTGGAAGAACACTAACAACAACATGAGGGATAAAGCTAAGAAACATTTTATATTATAAGCCATATAATATTTGCAAAATGGCTGCTTAAAATTAAATGCCAGAAATTGCTTTCCAAGGTGTTAAAAAACAAAGCTGTAGAAGAGCTTCAACAGGGGACATTTGTATACTTAAGTTTCATATGGGTGGTAACATGAAAAAGACATTAGGCTAGAAGCCTGGAATCCCTGCCAATGGCCTTGCCCAAGGCATGGAGCTTTTCTTAAACTTCTACTACTAACAGTTTATGATTCCATTATATAAGAGCATAAGTGATGCCAGTTTGAAACATTTTTTATATTTATTTTTTCAATGCCCCTGAATTGGGATCAATCTGTACATAGCTGTCCCTTGATATAGGAGGTGTACCATAGGGAAAGGAGTAATAAAATTGAGACACCACCAGGAACAGGCAATATGATCACATCAAGAGAAAGATAAAATGTTAGTACAGAGCAAAAGAATGAATATTAGGTATGGAAAGGACTAAAAAAAGAAGAGAGGGAAAAGGGAAAAGAGAGCAAAACCATTTACAAATAGAACAAAACTGACCTGAGTTCTGTTAAAAGCCACGCGTGCAAATACTGCCTGGGAGATTCCTGCTCGTTTCAGTTCATCACGTACCCACTGGTAGATTTCGGAAGACACCTCTGTGTTGGTTGAAACCTGTTGCTCCAAAGGTTTATTCATAGATCTACTGACAGGGGGAGGGTGGTTCAAGTATTGTTGGTTTAAGGACTGCTGGGCTAAAAGTCTATTCACTGCATACTGCTGGTTCAGCAGCTGAGCCATCACCAGCTGCTGGTTGACCAACTGGGGACTGATAGGCGTTGACACAAGCCCAGGGTGCAGGTTCGGAAGAGGGGTCCGGACAGAGGGCTGGCTGCCATGGGAGAGCTGCGCTGGGGACGGAGGCTGCTCAGCTGTGTTCCCTGGGACCGGCTGCTGGCCAAAACTGACGTGGTTGGCACCTTGCTGGGATAATTCAGACAGACTATCCATTTCAACTAAAGTGGACAAAAAGTAAAATAGTATTCAGCCAACAATGATGGGCATTGATAAGGATTGCTGATCACTTCCTAAATAAAAAGAGACAGTACAGTAGAAACAGGGCACACCAAAGATCCAAAGAAACCAAGACCATTTCAAGATGGAACTCACCAGGCTTTTTGTGTTCCTCTTCTGAAAATTCCACAAACTTTGAAAGTAGACAACACCTTTGATTTCATTTTTAAAAATGTAGTTTAAATTTAAGACATAAAATCAATTATATTCAAATTCTTTGTGCTTAGTTATTCACTCTCACTTATTACCCCGAGAAGGCTCATAAGCAATGATGTTTATTTTAAAATGGCTGCTGGAAGAATGTCATTTGCTTAATGGCAACAAGAAACAGTGAGTTAAGAAAATAAGCTTACGGTAATAAGCAACTAAAGAAATTTACAAATATTTTTTCATGATATCTATTAACTTTAGTACTCCAGGAAAAAGGTGTAAAAGAAAAAAGGTGACATAAAATGTTCTACATTCAATTTTTACCTAGCAGTGAATATAAAGGTGTAATCAATATAATAAAGAAATCAAAAAATGGGCATAATGATAAGTAATAATAACTGAGTGTATATTGAACGCTATGCTGAGTATCTTATACGGCGTGTTTCATTTAATTCTAACCGTCATGGGTAGTAGGTGTATCTGCAAATATTTTTTTCGAATAAAGCAAGCAGATTTATTATATGGTAAGCCAGTATACTCAGAGTATACCCAGTGTTGCTAAGACCCAAATATTTTTTCAAGAAGCTATGGCTATTACCAGATACTAAAGACAATCTTGCAAGGAAGGGGTGGAGAATTGTGCTGGTACAATGATGATGCTGTCAAGATTTTGCAATTTACTCCCACCTACCCAGGATGAATGCTTCTCCCTTAGCTGGATATCCCTCAGGTGGATCGGCTGAATGTCAGCTCTAAGGGTATAAATGCTTTGCTGCTGTGAGAAGGAAACTGGCTTGATGCTCTTGACTGGCAAGGCTGGGCATGGAGCTGCATGTGTTTAGGTCTTTCCAAACTGACACTGACTTCCCATGTATAGACTCTGATTTGATTTTAATCATCATTTCTCTTATCATTAAATATGCAGGTTTTATATTTAGAGGAACTTATCATATTGCTATCGTCACTGATACATGCAGAATATAACTAAGAATTGGGGAAGAAACCTTCCATTTCTACCCGTGATATCAGCCCAAGTGGGCCATTCACATAGAATAGTAATTCAAGCAATTATTCCAAAAATGATGCATTGTCTTCATTACAGCCCTAAGCTATAAAAGGCAAAGAATCTGTTTTGGTAGATGGATGGTTTTTCTTCAAATATTAAAAGCTAAAACATGCTCAAAATTCGGCTTCTCTTGTTTCTTAAAATCTTTAGGAAAAATTATTGTTGTTATTATTAAATGAATGTAATGGAGGTAAACAGAAATAGATTTAAAACAGGCCATAATGCTATGCATTTTAAACATCTCATTCCTATATTATTTTAAAATATGGAAGCTACAAGTATGTGAAAGAAAACATTAATAGAAATTAAAACATTAACCTTAATCACAGTGTTTGCTTTTGTCAACACTAACAATCTCAATAAGGAGAAAATGCCATAATCTAAATGCTTGGGTACAACATACGACTTTTATCTGTCATTTTACACTGCAGATAATTTTAATGTATTTCCTACATAACACATATTGACCTAAAGTTACATGTTAAGATAGGATGCTGCACTGGAATTAAAAATTTAGAAATGATGCACTGATTTTTCTGGTATGGATGGTCAAGCAGTGTGTTCACCAAAGTGCCTGTCTATGGGGGCGGAGGGATACAGCCACAAAAATCACTTGATCTCAACTGTGGACACTATAAATACAGTTTAATTTAATAAGTTTAATACAGTTGAGTCTCCTTAAAAATAGGCACTTTCCCTTTCTCTCAAACAAAAACCAAAATCCTAAAAGCATGATTTATCTTGAAGAGAAATCACAGCTAATATTAGTGATTCAAGGCCTGGTTAGGTCTTCACTGAGATGTTAAAAAAATGACAGCTCCCCTCCTCACACCTCGATTTCCTGCATGTCTGACAACCAAGTCAGTTTGGCTGATTTAAACACAAACATTTATTGAATTTAATTATCTCATTATAGTCATACCCACTCCCCACCCCCAAAGAAACATTCTAAATTGATCTCTAATTGGGCAATCAAAAGACCTGGCTTTAGATGTGACTTTGATAAACCCCCAAATGACACGTAATGGTATGTAGCCACCACCGCTGCAATGGTTTTTTGCTTACCCATCATATCTTTTGTCTTCTTGAAATGTTTGTACCACCTTCCAAATTCTTGACATTTTGCTGCTGAGACATTTGCATAGTAAGTGCTGTTCACAATGGAAGAGATCATACTCTGCATGAAGGGGGGGAAAGAACATTTGTAATACATAGCTGCACAAGATGGAGCACAGAAATGATTTCGATTATGGAAACCGCATTTTTTAAAACAACTGAGTACACTGGTACATTTTCCCCACGTTAGCCTAAAGCCTCAACTTTCTTAAAATTCATTAAGTACGTTGTCAAAATCTTATTTAAGTAGAAATCAACAGCCCACTGAGACCAGTATAGAGCTATCAAATCCACAGACTTCATTCTAGCATTTGTCGAATCCCAATCAATGACATCTATTTTTTGGCTGACAAACTTTCACTGATCCCAATAAAATCAAATACGTGAAGATGACTTTATAACTGCAATTCACGAATATATGTTACTTTGAGGTTTAGTGACCAGACTCTACATCCTTGCTACTCAATGTATGGTCCAGGGACCAGCAATACAGGCATCACCTAGAAGCTTGCTAGAAACACAGAACCTTGGACCCTACCCCAGACCTAGGCAATCAGCACCTGCATTTTTACTGAGAGCCTGAGGGGATATACATGCACGTTAAAGTTTGAGAAACACCACTTGCACTTTCCACCCTATTATTAGGATTTCAACTGGAGGTGCATCAACACTGATCAAAGGTAAACTGACCATATTTGAGAAGAAACAAGCTATTCACAGAGATCCTCCATCAGGAGAAAAACATTCTGCAATCTTATTGCTGGCTTCATCTTCAGTAAAGCTTGAGTTCTGAATTTCAAACTGACCATAAACATTTTAAATACACACACTTCATGCTTACTAAATTTCTCAAAGATACCACAAAAAAGAAAATGACCTATTTTGTCACTTTTCTTCATCCTGCTTTTCACAAAAGCCTTGAAAACAGAGTCAACCATGTAACATACAAAAACAGACATAATTTTAATGTATTGCTAGGAAGAGGGGTTTTTAAAAACTCATTTTCAACAAAGAAAAATATTTTCTTCCCACCAAATTTTGGTTGTGGTAATTTCAACGACTTAATTCACAGTCCTTTTTAACCCTAACACCCATATTTCTCTAGTAGCAGCTAAATTGATTTTCTATTGAGTCTTAGGAATCATTAGACTTTATAGGACCAATTCGTCCCTCACCTCTGTGTGTAGAAACATGAGAACTTACATTTCAGACTTCAGTCAGTCTACAGTGAAATAGTTTACAGAAGGCAGCATTGTTCGGAGGCAGTGAACAACCAGAAAAGCCAGTTTGGGGACAAAAGTATTTTTATGTCATTATCTTCTTTAAGCTACTTCAAATATAAAGCCCTTTTGGTTATTATTAATCCTCTCAACATCCATTATCAGTGTTAATTTTGTAGCATGAACACATTTCTGTATATGTAAATCTGGGAGATCTCTGAAGAACCTTCAGAGAAGGCTAAGCTAGAGTCGCACTATTTATGTAAAATATGGCTATCTTTCCTAAGAGGCACTATGATGATATCTTCTTTTTTTTTGACACTTTCTACTTTATAGTCATTTTCACATTTTATTTCTCTAAAAAGACATTCTTAATGTGCTCATTATGCTTTGCCATTAATCCAATAGCTTGCAATTTCACTAAGAGCCTCCCACAGTCCACAGTGCACAAAGACACTTAGCAAGGTTGCCAAAACCAGAGCCAGAAGATTACCTGATCCAGTTAACAATCCGCCAGCTTCAATCTCACTTACTCTATTGTAATAAAGGATCAATAAAGTCAGACACTAATAAAACTACTGAGATCGCTGATGGATAATGGTGATTCTGCAAATGGATGACAGCTGATGTTCTTCTACTTTAGTCCAATTTTTTAAAAATTATTATTTTTCACCTAGACATTCTGGCAGTTTCTTAAACGTTAATATAATAGTACATATAAGTTTTAGACATCATTTATGTCTTACTTTTTAGAAATAAATGGGATATCTAAATTTTGCCTAGGTTTTTGACAAACATCCAATCTACTTCAATTTTGCCAATAGTTCTACATATGAAATTTGCTCTTTACTGAACACCTACTATGTGCCTGGCTGGTACTAAGGACACAAAGATGGATAGGACACAGACTCTATCTATAAAAAATTCACCATCTATTAGGACGATAAATATGTAAACAGACCATTTCAATTTAATGTGATTCAGTGCACCAACAGTGCAAAATACATGGAGGTCGGGAGAAAAATCCATAGTATGTGTGAAAAAAATGTCTGAAATATTTTTATAAAACTAGAGCCAACATGTAATAGTGCTATGTAGTTCATTACTATCCACATGTCATAAATAATATCCATGTGTGTATCATCATCAAAGCTTCCTCCTGCCCTTGTTTAATCCTAAATTGGTAAGCTCTGTCCTTACGTGATTTTTCTGGATATTTTCTACTCCGTCCTGTGGTATGTGCTTAGGAAACTATGATTAATGTAAATATTAGCCTAATCAAGACATAAATCAAAAGGCTAATAATCCACAAGTTATAGTGCATGCCAAAGCAACCTTTTAGATTCCCTATCTTTTGGTGTTTTGGGGGGTCTGGGAAACAGTCCACAATTCAGGTAACTTGGAGTCACCTTTATTTTTATTACAGTATGCAGTAACCTATAGAATTAAATTGCTCATATAGCCACTTCATGATGGGTTTTTTTCCTGGTGGTAAAATCCCTACAGAAGGCTTAGGCATGGTATAGGGGTAGACTAGTGAGTTTCAATGGCAGGGAAGAGAGATTGCAAAATCTTGTGCATGTGGCATTTGAAAGATCATATTCAATATTGTAACATTAAATCTGGAAAATCAGGAAAAACCTATTGTTTTGATAATACAAATAACAGAAAGTCAAGATTGGGAATATTTTTCTAGGTGGTAGGGATATATAGACAGTAGTCCAAGTTCCTTGTTTTAAAGGAGAAAGGCTTAGTCTTCTTATTTCAATCAAAAGGAGCACTGGTTTAAAAAAGATTGCACCAAACCTAGAGGTCGTGCAGGTCTGGGGCTCCATATTATTTTCCAGCCCAATGCCTGGCACACATTAAATACACTAAATGTTCGCCTGACAAAATAGAATAGAAATAAATCTGCATTCAAGTGCAGGATGTGTCACACACTGGTAGTATGACCTTGGGTCACTTAATTGACCATTCTATCACAATTTCCCACGCTAAATGGGAATGATAGTAGCATTCACCTCACGGGGTTGTTCCACTCATTCACATGTATTTTTCATTAATTCAGCATATATTTATTGAACTCCTACTATGTGCCAAGCACTGGGCAAGTCACTAGGAAAATAATGACTTGAAGAGACATACTATCTACCCGTAGACAGACAATAAAAAAATAGTGGATGTGATGCAATTAGCATAGAGCCTGCAACATATCAAGTATGAACTCAAGAAATGTTAATTACTATGACAACCCTCTGCCTCCTCCTCCTCCTCACTGGGCTTCTATTATATGATCACATTCCACATCGGTCAACTATGCTTTAAGTAACCAAAGACTATCAGATAAAATTTTTAAATGATATACAGTATCTTAAGTCAAATAAATTTTTTTAATGTAGAACAAAGAGTATACTAATTAGATTATTGTTGCAAGTCGGGTCAAGGAATAACAAGTAAAACACCAAAAAAAAGTATTTCCATTTTTTGTGATATTCCACTTTGGCAGTATTTCCTGGAGCTGGCCTGTATCTGGTAGAAGGCATCAGGAAGGAACACCACTCCTCTGACGTGGATGGTTGACCCATGCCCGCTCCCATCTCTAGCTGACAGCTGCTCATTCTTCAGGACACACCTCAGGTATCCCCACTTCGGTGAGGCCTTTCCTAACTTCCTAAACACCCTATACATGCTGCCACCATAGCACTTGCCCCACTGTCATGCTGTTTATTTTCTACTAGACTGTGAGTCTTAGATATTATTTCAATACAGCCTGGACTCATCACAGGGTTGGACATATATTAGGTGACCAATAAAAAATAAAAAAGGTCAATGAAACAAGTTGTTACTGCAGGCCACCAGAAAATCCTCTTCCCCTTTTATCCCTTAAAGGTCAAAGGTAACAGCAGCTTAATTGTCACATGAATCTTTAAAATCCATCATTTTTAGCTGTCACGATAGAAATCATAGTTTCAAGAACCTTTGTTCATTAATTTGCAAGAGATCCCTTCCCAGGTTTTTCAAAATACATCCACACAGATGTCTCGGAAGTTGCAGTGCTCGGTGGTTATGTTATTCCAGTTCTCTCTCAGTGTCTATTTATATGAGCTCTCCAAAGCACTTTGAAAAAGACACAACTTGTATGGCAAGTTTCCTATTCAGTGGCTGGTCTGTATAAAACATCAATGTTCAGGGAACAAAATAATCCAACTAACAAAACTCAGTCAGTTGAAATCCCAAAGTCAAATGCTACACATTGTAACAACCAATAAATAGGCCACAGCTTCCAATGTTGGGAAATACAATTTCAAAGTCGGCAGAAATTGGCTGTGGCTCTCATAACCCCGGTGTGACACAATATTCTCATCCTAGGAGCCAAGTTGTAAGCTTTTCTAAGATCCATAAAGCACATGTCTACTCCCTACGAGGAGCTTCGGTTCTTTCTGAGAGTCTGCTGAAGTTCCGATCTGAAAGAATGCCATCTTCACAGAAACCCCGGTACTCTAGAATGATACCATCTGCCACAGGCTGAGCTTCCTTTTCAGCCAAATACATTATTTATAACCTTTCTAATTGTGAAAAGGTAAGGGTGGAATTTTTCTAAAGCCTAACTTAGATATAGTTAGAACATTCTGAACCTTTGCTCTAAAATACTGCAGATCTCTTAAATTTTAAAAACAAACAAAAAAGGCAAGAAATTGATTGAGGTTATACACTTTTTAAAAATATTATTTTCTTTCAAACCCCTGCTGGAATATCATATACACTGTAGGCATATTTATAACAAATTTAGAAAATGAAGGAGGATAGTTTTATTTTTCTACTTGGTCATCTTAGTAGCCAA